GTAGTAAGAGAAATATTTTTCTGACAACGATAAGAGTAATCATAATGATGATAATGAGGAGGAGGAAGAGGAGGAAGATGATGTTGATTGTTAATAGCGATTAAGATGAGTGATGAAATTATTATTAATGCTGATAACGATGCTGACGCTTTGGAAGTAAAAATTCGGAGATTTTTTTTGTTCCTTTCCATTCCATATCATGCCATCAATCAATGAGGAAGATTATCACGTAATCACTGTCATTATCATCTGATCGCCTAATCATTAAACACCTAAGCCGCTGACGCACTTTGAACTACAATTTTAAGCATCTTGCGTGCATTGTGTGCGTGCCCGTGAAAGAGCTTATGTTACATAACCTTCTTCGAACTCACGCACACACAGACACGCAAGCAGACGGACAAACAAGGCGTTTAATGATCCATTTAGATGTCCTATCTTTAATTTGGCCCGTCTATAAACGCAATCACATTATTTCTTCAATGCTCTTCTGTTTATGTTCACACGGACCTCTCTCTCTCCTCTCTCTCTCTCTCTCTCTCTCTCTCTCCTCATCTCTCTGAGCAAACGAGCGTATTTGTTGGCTGGATCTAGTGTACGTGTTAGTGTATACATTTTTATATTTATTTTTGCTTACATATTCTTATAATGTATGCAATGTACTGTACATATATGTACATATATGTAAGCCTACATACACACATACATAACATACATACTTGAATGCATGCACACATGCATGCATATACATTCATACGTAAATACACACACATACACATACACACACACATATATATATGTATATATATATATATATATATATATACACATTCACATACATTTTTTGAATCAGAAATTTATTCATTCATCTAAAGAAAAAAAAGACTCAACGTTCGGAAGCTTAGTCTTACACGAGCCTCGTAAACAAGAAAATAAAAAGGCGTTCTTATAGATTCAGGCCTCTACATCTATCAGATATATACATACTTGGATATAGATAGATGCATAGATATACGTAGCTATATTGATATATTAATATGTAGATATGTGGGCAAATGTTTAAATGGATTTCACGGAACTCACACATTTGATACGCTTTTTTTTAGAATGCTTTATATTGATATGCATAGATAGATAGATAGGTAGGAAGGTAGGTAGGTAGGTAGGTAGGTAGGTATGTTGGTAGGTAGGTAGGTAGGTAGGTAGGTAGGTAGGTAGGTAGATAGATAGATAGATAGATAGATAGATAGATAGATAGATAGATAGATAGATAGATAGATAGATAGATAGATAGATAGATAGATAGATAGATAGATAGATAGATAAATGAATTAATGATATTGTCTTTTATCTTAAAAAAATATACAAAAATGATGAATACACATGCAAGTATACGCAAATACACAAGTACCAAATCACGTACCATTGTTTAAAACTGCTCTAAATGCGTGTAACACATTAACGCATCTGCAGACGCAAAAACGTTTCAAGTCATCCAAGCCGTTTTCAAAGTACCTAATCATATTTTATATTTTTAACGTAACTTTCAGCCAATGACATTAATGCGAACAATATTGTATATTGCAGTGTATTGTATGCGTATACATACCAGATGTACCTGCACTGTACACTGTACTATCGCATGGGTACATACATAACCATGAATACAACGAAGACGCGGTTAACCTATAATGAATGAGTGGTTAATGTTGGCCCGGCCTGTTCACGTGCTTATTATATGACGATGATTCAAGCTTCTGTAACGTGTATGGAGTTGAAACTGCTCATAGAATTGAGGGTGATGAAGATGAAGATGTCGTTTATGATGTGGATGATGCCGATGATGAAGATGGTGATGATGATGTAAGTATTGTAAGGTGTACTGTTGCTATTGATGTTGTTGAATTCGAAGATGACGTTGATACGTTCTCGTACCATTAAACGTCGTGCCCATGATGCCCTGTCGACACTGCTCGTTACAAACGTCAATCAAACTAGCTTCCCGTTAATGTCACTGGTTATTTATTATCAAGGTCATCTGCATGGATACAACCAACATCCTCATCATCGTAATCGCGGTCATGTTTCATGCTAGCACTCTTGAAAGCTTTATAGCGCGGTCTCATCAGGATCATTTTGTATTAATTTCAAAGAAGCACACACACGCACGCACGCACATGCATACACTTATAATTGCATGCTAGCGAGTACACAGACGTTAATGTACACTAAATTTGTATTAAGCTCTAATCTGGATGTGCCATTAAGAAGCCTTTGCCTGGCTTATCCACTCAACCTCGCACGCACACGCGTACACACACACACACACACACAAGCATACACACATGTGCAGGTACACATACACTCACGTGTAAATTCAAACGTACATGCTCACATAATTGCCTGTCCTAAAATACGCACGCACACCAATGTAGATATTTATTCACGTACACATATGTTTCCATCCAAATTGCACGTACATCCACATGAAATACATTCACATCCGCATGCATACAGACGCTGTCAAACATATTTATACAGACTAACATTCTTTTAGAACTAGACAAGACAGCTCTCTAAGTTGGTGACGTGTATGTGATGTTTGTATGTATTTGTAAGTATTTGTGTGTTTGTATGAGTGTATGTATGTATAAATTTATAGGTGGTTGGATATATGATTATTTGTATAAGTATGTATGTATGTATGAATTGAAGTAAGTTTAGTTGTTTACTTCCCTTCACTCTTCTGTCTCAACTTCAGTTCTATACACAACACAAAACAGGCACTTTTATTCATTTTTACGTTGTGAAAACTCACTAGCTTAGCGTGCATATTCGCCTCACATCAAACGACAAACACGAAATACAAGGTCAAACAAACATTGCATACAAACATGCCATTGTGTCGGTTTGATGTCTTGGATTCAAAATGTATGTGGAACTTTTGGGCTAGTAAAAAATGACGCCGAGTATGTAGCTACTGGCAGCGTCAGAAAAACTACATTCACACATACAAACCACAAGCATTCAATCGAGTCATACTAACAAGCGTCATGCAAACAAACAGTAGTAATCAATGTACGAAAAACGTACAGTGCATTGTACAAACATCATACACACTGTACACAAACTGCATACAAACGTTGTACAATCCATATATACGTACAAAGCACAACAAAACCAACACGCATTACAATGCAAAATCACAGAGCAAAGCATTCCAAGCATAAACAAGTGGCGGTTGGTGCTGGCGGTTTCACAGCTCGCTTCATTTTAGCTCATTCATTCATGGCAATGCAATTTCCATCTTATTCTATTAGATTTTAATGCATGTAACAGGATTACTGTGTCGTTGCATAGATATTACATACTTAAGTGTTCTCTTTCTCTCTCTCTCTCTCTCTCTCTCTCTCTCTCTCTCTCTCTCTTTTCTCTCTCTCTCTCTCTGTGTATGTGTGTGTGTGTTTATGTGTGAAATGTATGTTTTTCTACTTGGTTTTTGTTTGTTGTAATTTATTAATTATTATCATTTTTTACTATTTCTTCATCTTATTTTGTTATCCTTGTTATAATGGATGGATGGATGGATAAATGGATGGATGGATGTTAAAAAGTCTTCTAACAGACTTTAAAAGATTAGCAGAACAAACGTGCATCGAACACATACGCACAGCGTACAACACTCAAGAGATTTTCTTTGCATTCAAACCAGGTAAAATATTCATATGAAGAGCGCAGAACGTGGTACTCAACCGCCTGCTGAGCCACAGGAATAGGTGTAATAAAGGTGTTAGTGGTTTCATATAACCATCACTGGCCATTTGTGTAGTGTTAATTTGGCTATAACATTCAATTCGAAGATAGCTGCATAATGAAAAAATCACATATACAACTGAAATGACCCAATCATACATACAACCATCACAGAAACGTCTGTGTCCGCATGCCTACATACATACTCATACACGCACATACACACACACGCATATGCACACGCCCACAGGCATACATACATATACATAGACGCATATAATTACTTAAACATAAAAAATACACATAAAACCATGCAAAACGCATTCACACTCATTGAACATCGGGGATATAAGAGACCAGTTACCTCGATTTACATTGCACAACACGTCGCATTCACACACACACACACGTGCGCGCGCGCACACACACACGCACACACCACACGCACACACACCACACGCGTCCTTCATCTTACTTTCAACTCCCTGGCTTATTATCTAATTGTTTTAGCTTTTGCATATTCCATCCAATCATTTCAAGACAGTGTGGCGAGGACGACGACGGCGAGGACGATAAAATGTTAATGTCATAGTGTGATGATGACGATCAGAAAGAATATGAAGCGTTAAGATGTTTTCATAAACGCATAATTAAATATTTAAACTAAATAAATGAATGAATGTTCTCATTCTATTTCCCCACATTCGTGTGATATTTTCACGCAACTACATTCAAGCAGACTTTTGAAATATGCATGTGCATCATTGGAGGTATGAATGACTTCAATATAATTTAAGAACGTTTACATCTCAATCACACATTTCATACTTAGATACACAATTCTGTTGTTAAAAATTTTATATCATGTGTACACTTTCACTTATATAGCGAAATGACCTCTTGCAACTTTAATGTTAAGTTACGATGGCGACGTTCGTTCGTTTGACCTTTACGATGATTGACCTTTCAGCTTTTTGCGGCTATGCAGCTTTCAATTCTCTAATGTTATGTGTATATAAAAAATATATTGTATATATATGCAATACATACATACATATATTGTATATATATGCAATACATACATATACGTATAAACTCTCACGTGATAAATCTGGAAATTTCTGTAGTATCTGCTACAATCTTGATATTGTGTAGAGAAAACATAACGTTCTCCGAACACATAAACACACAAACAACGCACTTAACATGTCACCTGACCTCGCTTGACCTCATTTGACCTGACCCAGATATTCGACCACCACTGTCCGTGGGTGAACAACTGCATCGGGCGAAGGAACTACCGCTACTTCCTGCAGTTCCTGTGGCTGCTGATCATGCATATGCTCTTCCTCTTCTCGCTGCTCGTCGTCTTCATCTGGCAACATAGACACGACCTCAAGGCCTCCAACATTATCATCGCGTTTGTATTATTTCTTTGTTTTCACTTCTTTGTTTGTATTTCATTGTTTGTATTTCTTTGTTTCCTTTTTTTGTTTGTATTTTTTATTTGTATTTCGTTGTTTGTATTTTTTTTATTTGTATTTTTTTGTTTTCATTTTGTAGTGTTTTTTTTGTGGTTTCGTTGTTTGATCTGTTTTTGCAGTTTTTTGAGCGTTCCAATGGTTTTTGTTTTTATTGGCTACTATATTTTGATGATTATTTTTACGAAAATGACGACGACGATGGTGAAGATGATGCTTGATGTCGAATATCGTGAGGATGCAACGGTGATAATGATGATGAATGATGATTATAATGATGACGATGTTAATGTGACCATCATAGAAATAACAATATTCGATTTTTACCGCCACTTAAAGAGCAATGATAACCGTCTGTTATTGCTTTGATATTGGATATGTTCCAGTTGTATCCCTACAATTTTTAATTAGTAACTTATTATAATAATTGACCCCCTCCACTGCAGGTTTTGCATATTGATTGTGATTGGTCTGTTGTGCTGGCCAATCACGGGGCTGGCTATGTTTCACGTCATGCTAGTCAGCAGAGGAAGGACAACAAACGAACAGGTTATTTATTTGCTCTATCAGTCATTCATTTATTTTTTATTCATTTCAGTCTGTTGTCAATCAATCATTCGTTCGTTCTTTCATTCGTTCGTTCATCTATTTGTCTATTTGGTCTTTCAATCGTTTAACTTTTAATTTTCTAAAAAATTTCAAAATGTGTATTTTTTGTGTGTGTTTGTATGGTTAAATGTGTATTTTTGCGTTTGCTTGCTTGCGTGTGTGTGTGTATATGTGTGCGTGCTTGCGTGCGTGTGTTTGCGGTTAGTAGAATTTAAATGATGCACATGTGGTTTCAAAAAAGCATGGAGAACAAAACCAGTGGGTGAATGGACAAGAGGAAGTTGAAGCAATCGTTCAAATGTCCGCCGATGGTGATGATGAAGATGGTGAAAATGATGATGAAGATGATGATGAAGATGGTGATAGTGATGATGGAAAATATGGGGATGGTGATGGATATGTACACCTCAATATACCAACGATGATAATTTTTTTTGTTTATTGTGTATTATTTTTGATGCTGCTGGTTGGGTGGTTCACTAAAGATGAATCAAATTATGTATCTTCACATTTTAATTATCAACATAATCATCCCAATATCATCATTTCCATAATCAACTTTGATATAATCTGTATCATTATCTGTGATCTATTTTTTTCATTTCATCATATCATTTTCATCATCTTCGTTATCAACATCGTCGTCTTAGCACCTTATACAATATCACCATCATCATCGTTGTCATCGTCATTTATGTGTGTGTGTATGTTGTGTGTGTGTATGTTGTGTGTGTGTGTGTATGTTGTATGTGTGTATGTTTTATGTGTGTATGTACACGTTTGTATGTAGGTGACATCCCAAAATTTTGTCTAAATGCATAGACGTTTTGTAAATGTGGATTTATATCTCTCTATATGCGTGCGAATACATTGGTTGGTTTCGTGCCTGTCATATTCGCACCACTTACGTGCTCTGCTTCTGATTTGTTGAGCGACAAAATGAAACTTAAGTAGCTAACTGCTGTTAATATACATAGAAGTATAAAAGTCTGCGTATACGCGTCAGTGTGGATACAAATAAAAGTGTATGGAGTTAGCTCTGATGGTAAGGGTGCTGTTGTTGTTTTGTTATTTGGCACTGGCCTGGTTTGCGAATACTGTCTGAAATCTATCAAGCAGGAAGACAAACGTAGGACACATGCGTATATGATGGGATGTTTATTAGTGTCGTGTTTCGCGGCAGAGCCAAGTGAATTGTATGCAACTAAACTTGCCAAGTGAGGAACTTTTTGCTAACTGTTCCAAGTGCTGAAAGAATGTATACGAAACATAAGTAAGTATCATTCTGAATATAAATGAAAAAATAACTCTTATATTGAAATTAAATGCAGAATCATAAATTAAATAAATGTGTGTGTATGTGTGTATGTTTACGTGTGTGTGTGTGTTTACGTGTGCGTGTGCAAGAAGCAGGCAAACATCCTTTCACAAATTTGTTGAAATCATTTTGAAGCGCTCTCATATTTCGTTGCAAATATTATTATGTTACAGTTACACATTTCATCACATCATTCCTGTGTGTGTGTGTGTGTGTTTGTGTGTTTGTCTGCGTTGTGTGTTATCTATACATGAAACATTATATGTCATATACAATATATATATATATATATATATATATATATATATATATATATATATATATATATATATGTGTATGTATGTAATTCCGTTTCGTTTCGTAACTAAATAAACTTATATGCATAATAAATGAAGTGTCTGGTGATATGTAGGTCAGGTCTTATTTATTTACAATAAAAAATAATTAATCCAGGTTATAAATTATGAACTTGTAGAGTATTCTTTAACGTGTAGGTTTTAAAAATAGATATTGTTTGTAATTAAAAAGGAAGTAAAAATATTTTCTCTTCCTCTGTTTGTTTGAGTATACCATGAAGGCTTTTAGCGTGTAAAAAATTTCTTATTCAACATGTTTATCTCTTTTTGTACAAGTTGAATTGGCAGATCTGTGCATGTGTGTGTATATGTGTGTGTGTGTGTATGTGTGTGTTTGTATATTAGTGTGTGTACGTATATGTGTACACAAGAACCACTTATATAGATAAAGGAGAGATAGAGAGGAGAGCGAGAGAAGGAGAGAGTTTGTGATGAAATTTGGAGAGTTTCCATTTTATTCCTTCAAGAAAATCTATTAACCCGTCTTCTCTGGTACATAATAAAGCATCCCACAACGTATATATTGCACACTCCGCCTGTATTTGTGTATTTAGCTGGTATTTGTAGGCGTATTTATTTTGGTGCGCTTGTCTGTGTGTGTGTCTGTGTGTGTGTGTGTGTGTGTGTGTGTGTGTGTGTGTGTGTGTGTGTGTGTGTGTGTGTGTGTGTGTGTGTGTGTGATTTTGCATATTTTATTTCAGTATTTGTGTATGCAAGGTACGTGATTGGCATAGCGTATTGTTTTCATTTGTATTGTTAAGGATGACTTATGGTGAGTATTTTGTGAGGGAGTAATGTTATAAAATACCGATCAAACACTATGTGGTGTATGCATCTCACATGCAAGATGTTTAATGATTAGCTTTGGTGTACATAATATTCAGGAGGAGCGTATTAATTTTTGATATGCGTATGTTGGTTGGAAGGAGGTACGTGCGTGTTCGTTATTCGTTTCGATGTGTTTTTCTTCAGTACAGGCATGCTGCCTGTGTAAACGATCATACAATTTGTGTATGTATGTTTTTGTTTGTTGTTTTTCATTCATTCATTCATTCATTCATTCATTCATTTATTCATTCATTCGTAAGTGTGTACTTACTCACGTGTATGCAAACAGGGTTTATAGTTTTAGAAGTATGGGATCATGTTTGTTCTGTCCTTCCATCCTCAGTTTGTTCGTTTCTTTGTTTTCCTTGATTCTGTTCGGTGAATGTTGGCCTGAAAGATTTCTCTGTACCTTCATGTATATAATGTTTTAGATTTGTGTGGGATTTCATGTATGTGTATACACGGTGGCAGATCTAGACAACTTTAGCGTGGGAGCCAAAATTTTGAAAATTTTTCTTCTGGCTTGGCTTACTACCTTCGTTTGTTTATCACGTCACGTGTCAAAAACTGCACATTCCCCCTTAAAATAATGACTTCTACCGACTTCTAACACACGAAACTGGCACTCCAGTTCCGCTTAGATCCGCCACTGTGTGTATATAACTTTGTATTTTCGTTTTTATGTACACCTAATTTGTATGCTTGGATATTAATTTGCTCAATAATTGCGTATTTTTGTGTTGTTAAGTATGTGTGCGTATATATATATATATATATATATATATATATATATATATATATATATATATATATCAACGTTTAGAATTTTATGTGTTGTTATTTTTTTTATGGAGTCATTTCTTCCCTTTTGAGGTCGTTAAAGTTTTGTTTTGCCGAGTGTTAATGTTTGTTCTCGCAGCAATTTATGGCTGAGAGAATGTCCTGCCCCTCTCTCTCTCTCTCTCTCTCTCTCTCTCTCTCTCTCTCTCTCGTATATAAACATGCTTCTTTGAATGTACGTTACGTACGCGTGAATGATGGATGGATGGGTGGGTGAGTGAATGAGTTGATGGATGGGTGGGTGAGTGAATGAGTTGATGGATGGGTGGGTGAGTGAATGAGTTGATGGATGGGTGGGTGAGTGAATGAGTTGATGGATGGGTGGGTGAGTGAATGAGTTGATGATGTAATAGATGCATGAAATTATGAGTATGTGAGTTATTAGATGAATGATTGGATTAGTGGAAGGATGAATGAATGGATGCACGGTTAGATGAAAGAATAAGCGAATTAATGGATGGATGAATAAATGTATGAAGGAATGAATGAAGAAATGAATGAACAAACGGATGAATGTTTACCATTGTGTTTCTGTGGAATCATTTCTGATGCTGTTTGTTTAGTCAGAGTCAACAAAAGAAACATCATGAGGCAGGCAGACCTCACACTCAGACTCTTTCACTCACACACACACGCGCGCGCGCACACACACACACAAGCACGCACACATGCATACACGCACGCACACATATTTTTATTATTTATTTTCAGTATAGTGGTGGATTTTATCTTTCCAATATTCACCTTCTTTTCAATCACTTCATTAAATCGTACTATTTTCACATTTTTTTGTTCATTATTATTATTATTATTATTATTATTGTTGTTGTTCTTGTTGGTGCTGTTATAGTTTTAATGACATTGATGTTGAAAATATTATTTTCCAGCCAGGAATGATTGCGATATTGTTTTCTCCAGAGCTAATGGAGTTGCAATGTTTTTCCATTAATTTGTTTTTGATAGTGTTTTTCTACATACAGAAGACCTACCTAATTTTATCGTATCTCTTTTATCTTTCCAATCATCCGTCAGTCAATCTAATATATTCATTTGTTAGTATATCTAGTTTTTAATTCAACTATCAATTTATCCTTCCATTAATTTACCCGTCTTTCAATCAACCTATTTTTTCTCTCAATCTATCTATCCATCCTTTTATTCATGAATGGAAGTATGAATGAATGAATGATTGATTGATTGAATGAATGAATGATTGATTGATTGATTGAATGAATGAATGATTCAACTAATGGATTTATAGCCGTATGAACAAATGTATGAATAAGCAAATAAATAAATGAATGAACAAATGAATGAATATATCAATCAACGAATAAGTGAATGAATGTATGAATTATAAGCCAGCCTCTATCTTTTTCATCAATTCACTTCAATATTTCATAAGTTTATTTTTAATTGGACATTGTAATTGATAAGGTGACAGGCAAAGCCAAAGCCTCGGGTGACCTTTACGACCAAGGTTGCAGGTACAATTGGCAGCATGTCCTCTGTGCCCCACTCTGGCCCAAGTAAGATGCATATCTATCTGTTTATCTGTCTGTCTGTCTATCTATCTGTCTGTTTGTCTATCTATCTATCTATCTATCTATCTATCTATCTATCTATCTATCTATCTATCTATCTATCTATCTATCTATCTATCTATCTATCTATCTATCTATCTATCTATCTATCTATCCATCCATCCATCCATCCATCCATCCATCCATCCATCTATCTATCTATCTATCTATCTATCTATCTATATATCTATCCATCCATCCATTCATCTATCCATCTATATGTTTATATTATAAGTTGGATGGATGGATGGGTGGTGTAGATATAAATGAATGGTTGGATATGTACGTACACACACATACACATATACAAACACACACACATACACGAACAATTAAACGCAGATACAAACATGTACACTTAGTACACACATTCTGACACTCAGATTAACCGCTAAGAAATATAGACCTCAAACAAAAATAAAGACAATAAGGGCGACGTGTCGCAGCTACAGCCACGACAACGACGACGTGATAGAGGAAGGTACCACGGTTGTTAGTTACACCGTCACAGACAGTAAAATTGACGCCATTGTTAATGGGGAGGCTCTGACTTTCAAGGATCAAGGATATGTCAAGGTCACTTGTGTCATTTTTTCCCCGTTTTCATTGTTACGTAACTGTGTTGGTTTGTTGACAATGTAGCAGTGTTGTATTGTTATTATTGTTGTAATGTTATTGCTGTATTGGCCATTTTTTATTGTTGTTTTTGCAGTTGTCGTTGTTTAAATTGTCGTGTTGTTATAGCTTTTAATTGTTGCCGTATCAATAGCTTTCAATGCAATTTCGTTTTTAAACACGAACGAGCTTCATCCATTTGCTATCTGATTTGAAACGTCAATGCATGTCTGCCTCTAATTTTCCAACAGTGATATTTGTTGCTTTCCAAATACTACAAATAACAGAAGCTGCAGTAGTAGTAGTAGTAGTAGTAGTAGTAGTAGTAGTAGTAGTAGTAGTAGTAGTAGTAGTAGTAGTTAGTAGCAGCAATCGCGTTGGTAGTGGCAGGAACAGACGTTGTAGTAGCAGTAGTGGTAGTGGTAGTAATGCTTCTAGTATTCTTAGTAGTAATGGTTGCAATAATTGCAGTCGTTGTCGTTTGACGTTCAATTATTTTCATCTTGAATTGATTTTATTTTTACTAGATGTCGCCAGATTCGATGGCTACCGACACGTCCACAAGAAGGCAGCAACTAACAACCACATCAGCGGCAACAACGATACCATCAGCGACAACAACAATGACCTCTGTTTCTTCTCCGATTTATCGTCCAGTTCAACAGCACTTTAACAACAACAACAACAACAAATTGTCGTCGTCATCTTCAACATCGTTGAAAACGTTCAAAGCACTCTCCAATCAGTTCTGCAGCAAGAAAGTTATCTTAGTCAGATCTTCAGAACAAGATACCAATGTCACAGTAACAGCAACAACAGCAGTGAAAGGCTCACACAACTGCAACAACAATCCCAGCAGCAACAGCAAGCACATCTGCAACAAACACACAAAGCCAAACTACAACAGCCACGTTATAGGCAATGATGAGATCTATAATGAATGCTTAAAACATCATTTTATCATTCATAACAACCATAATATTTGTAGCAGCAACAATTATAATAACAGCAATAGTAACAACAACAACAACAAAAGCAGCGATATAAACAGCAGCAATGTTAATTACGTCGTCAGCTACATGCAAACGTGCCCGAGCAATTATATACACGACCTTACTAGCAAAAACAATAATAACATCAACAACAACTCATCCACTAATGTCATTAAAAATACCACTGTAACTAAATCGGATCACATTAAAGATAGTAACAATAACAACAACAACAACTATTTGAACATGCACGCACGCACCAGAAACAAGACAACCCAGCAGTTGTATAACACTGATCTGAATGGTTACGAGAACCCGATCAACTACCTCGCCGGTGTAGCCGCTTCAAGTGCTGCAACCACCACCAAACAGAACAAGAAACGATCATCACTGTCAAACATCATCTGCCAACAAACCAAATTTCTCCAGGGACCTTCTGATGACGATTATGACAATGATGATGAAGAAGATGATGAAGAAGATGATGAAGAGGAGGATGAGGATGAGGATGATGATAATGATGATGTTGGTGGTGGTAATGATGAAAAGTATTGTATGCAGGCCTTGATAAATGTTGACAATGTTGAGTTAACTACCCCCACTCCGACTGCTCACAAGAGGAAGTCGTTGTTGATGACTTTGTTAAAGGGTAGTCCCAACAATGCTGCCAACAGTGTTGCCAACAATGCAAGCAACATTTTGAATGTTGACAGGGTTGGTTACGATAATTTAGATTTTACCGTTGAAGCGTCACACAATACAGCATGTCCATCGAACCAACAGTCAGAGCTCGATTCTAAACATATCGACCAACAAAACAAGCCAACAAATTTTTTTAATTTATTTAAAGGCAGCAACTCTGCAAGTAACAACAGCAGCAGCAGCAACAACAACAACAAAACTTCCGCCTCCTCCTCAGGTTGCAAGATCAATCCCACATTCAATCACAAGCCTTACACCACTGCCTTCGTTCCCTCATCCATCCACCCGCTATCAAATCCATCACCAATCATTGATACGTCTTCATCCGTTGATACAAAAAATGTTGACAGTCTTGTTGCGGCAACAAACAACAATGTTGCGGTGTTTGATGCAGTGATTCCAACAGGCACTAAGGTTGAGAAACCGAATAATTGTTACAGCAACGTGTACAGGAACCCAAAATTTGTTTCTGGCAACGTCGTCAACGAACATGATGTGTCTCCTGCCACCGGCAACAACGCGCCTCTACCAACATCAGCGATGCTGCAGGCACCGTTAAATGTATGCTCCAACTACACGACTGTGTTGCGCAACGTACCGAATGTCGTCAAGAGACCAACTTCATTCGCACAAGCCGTCCACAACAACAATTACCTGCCGCCACTCAACAGAAACAGGCTGCTCAACAACAACAACAACATTAATTTTTACACTCCGCAAACAACTTCTTACACAAACAACATCAAAAACATCACTCACAACAACAACAACAATTTCTATACACCTCAAAGCCCTCACAAGCAACAACACACCACCACCATCGACAACGACCAACAATCAACATCTCTATCTTCTCTGCCTAGCGTGACGAATAAATTATTAGGCGAAACGTCAAACTTCTCATCGGACAGGTCTATAGACGAGCCCTTAGTCAGAGCACCGATGGCCTCGTTATCAGAGGAGGATTTTGATTCACAAGCCAATCTATCATCGTTTGAAATCAGCGTATGATAGTATCATAATGCTATCATATTACTATCATAATGCTATCAGGATTGTTTTATCGCTTATGTATCATATTTGTATATCAGTTGTATAATAATGATTGTGTCTTGCTTGCTGCTGTTGCTTGCTGTTTTTGTATCGCATATCTTTTTTATATCATAACTGTGTATCAGCTACATGATGACGGTATCGTGTGTGTATCATTAAGTGGATAGTACATGTGTATCCGGATGTTGTAATTGCATAATGGTTATGTATCATAGTCCAGTTGGTTGTATTGAGGATTTTTAACTTTTTTTTTTTGACCATTAAAATTGGCTACGTGTGTCAATTTTTTCACTTCGTTTTAAATATTTAATTCAATTAATATTTTTTAATCGGTCAATTCTGTTTGTATTCTATTCGTATTTATATTCGTGTATTTTTTATTATTTAGTTTTTTAATGTTTCTAACCATGTTTCTATATATAATTATATAAATATGTATATGTGTGTGCGTGCGTGCGTGTGTGATTTTGTGTATGTGTGTACGTCGTCACATGCATGTTGTCTTCTTGCTCCTATATATGTTTGAGTTTGTAAATATATATCTGCATGTTCTTACTTTGATATTCGTGAGTTATATGTTTGAATTAAATAATCAAAACAATGGTGTAGTATCATGTTCACATCTGATGTATCATGTTCATATATGATGAACACACTCTGCTTCATCTGCAAATACTCAAATTAACTTTTTTTATCACCATTTCTTCCAATTATGCAACTTATCACGATATTTTTGAGTAATTATTATGATTATTTTTACAATATTTTTTTTGTTATAATAAAATGATATTATGAGACAATAATTTCCAGGAAATATTACAACATATTTTTTCCTGCATGTTTTGCTAGGCATCTTTGTGTGTGTGTCTGTGTGCGTGCGCGTGTGTGCTTGTGTATGTGTGTGTGTGTGTGTGTGTGTGTGTGTGTGTGTGTGTGTGTGCTCAGTGCCCTTCCCAAGCTACGTTGTTGGAATCCATTTTGACATAAAAGAACAAAATGAGACATTATTCTGTAACTACTCGTGAAATTATGCTTGCTAAGAATACGTTCATATGATTGCATGCATGTGTGTGTGTGTGTGCGTGTGTGCGTGTGTTCACGTGTGTGCGTGCGTGTGTGTAGATAGGTACAATCTCATCAGTTTTTATAATTTATGGCCCTCCCCATGTTTAGTTAACATTTTTCTTTTAAGTTTCAGATCTGCGTACGTTCGGAAAGTATGAAACATTTTATTTCACGAAGTATTGAATCAAAGTTGATATAATTAATTGCATTTATTATTATTCATTGTAATAATAATTTATAATTATTAATTTATATTATTTATTTTTTCATTCAAGTATTTTTCTTCCTTTCTACTATTTTTTGCTCCTCCGTCACGAGGTTTTTTACATATAAGGTATTTTATTGTAATGCATTCATTCATTCATTCATTCATTCATTCATTCATTCATTCATTCATTCATTCATTCATTCACTCATTCATTCATTCATTCATTCATTCATTCATTTTTTTTATTTATCTTCATTTTATTTTGTCTTTGCATGTTAAGGTGGTAAGGCATAAGTGCCAAGTGGAAGATTTATATTTTTTACACCATATTTATTTTTTATCCACTTATATTGATGGCGGTGATAAGAGTGGTGATGATAAAATGATGACGACGACGACCAGTTTGGTGATGAGAATGATGGTGAGTGTGATGGTGATGACGACGATAAGAATGATGATGAGTGTGGTGATGGTGATGATGATGAGTGCGATAATGATGATGAAAATTATGATAATGATGATGGGTGTGATGATGATGGTGAGTGTGATGATGATGGTGAGTGTGATGATGATGGTGAGTGTGATGATGATGGTGAGTGTGATGATGATGGTGAGTGTGATGATGATGGTGAGTGTGATGATGATGGTGAGTGTGATGATGATGGTGAGTGTGATGATGATGGTGAGTGTGATGATGATGGTGAGTGTGATGATGATGGTGAGTGTGATGATGATGGTGAGTGTGATGATGATGGTGAGTGTGATGATGATGGTGAGTGTGATGATGATGGTGAGTGTGATGAGGATGGTGAGTGTGATGAGGATGACGGCGACAATAACAATGATATGGTGATTGTGCTAGTAATAATGATGATAATGATGTAGACTATGGTTATATTGATGATAACCAAATTGACGATGAATGAACATATAAAGATGAGTAGAAATGATGATGATGATGTTTGTGATAAGAAAAATAGAAGGATGAGGATGATGAAAAAAACGATGATGATGTTACCGATGATAATAATAAACCTAACTATGGTCTTAGGGTCTATCTAACTATCTATCTAGCTTATGGTCTATCTAACTATCTAAAATTTTAATTCCCGTTTTGTTGGAGATGCCATCCTTTTTATACTCATTCATTCGTTCGTTCTTTTATTCGTTCATTCATTTATCAATTGGTTCATTCGTTTATTCATTTTTACTTATTTTTTTTATTCGTTCATTCAATTTTTATTCATTTGCCCTTTTTACTCTTGTATTTTCTCTTGCGTTGTTCTCATTTATTCATTCGTTCGTTCGTTCGTTCGTTTGTTTGTTCATTCACCCGTTCATTTTTTATTCTTTTATTCCTCCATTTCATCGTTCATTCGTTCGTTCGTTCGTTCACTCCAGTTTCTTTATTTTTTTTTTATCTATTAAAGCGGAAGAGACATCAAGTGCATTGCAATCATCCAATTTGTTGCCATAATGAGAGGCGGTAGAAGATGACGATTATGTTGATGACGATTATGTTGATGACGATGATGATGATGTTAATGACGACGACGATGATGATGATGATGTTGATGACGATTTAATGACACTCGTGATTATGTTTCTAGAGATTGAAGAGGACCACGACGACGATTATAATGGTAATGATGACGTTTTAAAGTATGAAAGTTACTTGTGAAAGTGCGCCTGAATTGGATTGAGTTGTAAACTTAGTAAGTAGCTTACGATGGAGTCGCACGTTCAATAGCGAGAGTAGAATGCATGACGTCAGAACCGAATGACAACTTTCCCGACTCCGAGTAACAATTCTTGACGGCGATGGCAGTGATGTCTTCATGATGATGATGATGATGATGGCGGTAATGATGATGATGTGTTGTCATTGTTGATGATGATGATGATATTATATAATTTTCATAATTAATTCATAATTTTTCTACCATATCACGTTACTTTTATAAATTGAATTTTATTTTTATCAACACACACTCTGAGACATAATAACATAGCAGCGCATCTGCTTTCAATGATAAATCATCAATGATGATATTTCATCTGAGTCTGCTCCCCTCTAAATTCAATTAACTATCTAACATATTTTTTTTTACATCGGTAGGTATCTATCTATGTATGCATGTGTGTATTTGTGTGTATTTGTTTATCAATATGAATACTATGTATATTTTTTGTATACGTGTATACGTACGCCTGTGTGTTTTCATCCGTATTTATAATTGTGAGCGTATACATGTAGGCGTTGGTGTACATTATGTATGGCTTTTGCTATTTTAGGAATTTGCATAGTCATCATTTGAGCTGAACCTCGTCGGCAAAGTTAGTCGTTTATCTTAAACTAGTCCAGTCTTTTTATCGTTAGTAGTCTATCTATTAATTAATTTAGCGATTTTTTTATTCAATAATGGATCTATTTTTAATTGCAAAATTTGATTTGGTGAAAATAGATTCAATTTGTTTACATTTTTAAAGAATTTCTCGTTAATTTAACTTTTTTTTATGTGCTAGCTTATATTTATTGGGGTGTTGTGCATTGAAGATCTGACCTAAATATAGCAGTGAAAGACTAACATGACGAAGATGAAGAATGTGCAGCGTTGAGATGTGTGTGTGTGTGTGTGAGTGTGTGTGTATGTATATGTGTGTGTGTGTGTGGGTGGGTGGGACGACGGTTTTATGCCGTGTAATGCATGCACTATATTATAAATGGAATCTATCTGATGTTTCTAAGAATTGAAAGAACATTTTTTTGTAGTCATCTTAATAGTCCTCTTCATTCTTTGGTTTCATCGTATCCATCATCATTTTTATCATCATCGTCGTCGTCGTCATCATGTTTATCATCATCATTTTATTTATCGTCGGTGCTACTAATATTTAGTAATTCTTAAGGTTTTTATATTTTCTTCCTCATCAACTTCATCGTCATCAGTTTGTCATTATTGTATCACCTACTCATCTTATCATCATCATCATCTCCAATGTAATCGTTCTTAAAGTCGTCATATTCAAACCAGTATTTCCAAAATCACCATATCTGACCATAATTTTTATCACCATTGTCATCATCTTCCTCATCATCAGCACCACCATTGTCATCATTGCTTGAAGCATCCAACTGCACTCACCACTTCTTCTTTATCACGTACACACACACACACACTTGACCTCATCTCCTTCTTTTTAATGTTTCCTATGGATACATTATTATTTTTGATCAGTTGTTTGTGTTTTTTCTGTGTCTGTGTGTGTGTCTGTGTATATGTATGTGTGTATTATTTTTTAACATAAATGTATTTTATTTCAAATTATTTTCCGAAGTTAATTATTTTCTTTCATTTTTTTTCTCGTTCCTTATTCTTCTTCTAAACAACTTTTACGTCTGTTAAAGATATTATTCCTCTTAGAAATTTTTTTCAACTTTTAGTCGGTTATGTAGTCATTAATTCATTCATTCATTAATTCATTCATTCATTCTTTCTTTCTTTCTTTCTTATATTAATTCACGATTCGTGGATCGTTTATCTATTCATTCCAGAGTAACCATTTCATTCATGATCTATTCATTCACAATTCATTCATATATTCGTTCATCTCTTTATCATACTATTCATTCACTCATTCATTTACTCATTCTGTCTTTCATTCATTCAGTCATTCACTCATTCATTTATTACTTAAAGTCCAAATATTTTAATCGCGGATAATGATGTTAGGCTATTGCTTTGATGTTGTTATTTACAATGATGATGACGATGACGATGATAATGACGATGATCATGATGACATTAACGATAATGGTAATGATGACGATGATGATCATGATGACGACGATGATGACGTGGCAATGCAATATTAAAAAAGAAAAGAATATCAATATAACTATAATGGTGCTGTCATACATGATTACGCTTGAAATGAATGTATATATGTGTGTGCATGTTTTTATGTTCGTGTACGCACACCATTAACACACACACACAACACACACACACACACACACACATATATATATATATATATATATATATCCACACTTTATGTAGGCACTATCCTTTTTTGTATTTGCTTATAAATATGCTTCACATTTATTGGCTGAAAATCAATTTTTTATAAATTTTTTTGTAATTTTTATATTTTTCTCTTAGATGTCACCAATAAGTGGTTATTATTATTATTATTACTATTTATTTGCCATGACGTTAAGGGTTGATAGTGACATGACATTATTATTAGTATTATTATTATTATTCATATTATTATTGACGAATCACTGAGCTGCATTAATGTTAATGAGCTGCGCCGCTAGTTAACATAATTTTTACATTTGAATAAATTAATATTAACGTATTTAAATTAGCATTATCATTTACTATATCATAATATTAGGCCATTTTATTATATACGAAATCTACCTCTACTGTCTTTAGAGTATATATATATATAGCATATATTGTTAACTATTGCATGTATTTCATTTTTCCCTCATAATTTCCATATGATAGAAACGCATTACCAGGAATATTCATTCATAAATATATAAATATATACATAGATATTATATTATATGTATGTATATATATATATATATATATATATATATATATATATATATATATATATACATAGTATGTTTTTCTTGTTTGTTTGTTCTTCTTTTTTTTACATTTTTCGTTCTCTTTTTTCACTTTCCGTTCGTTTTTTGCCTGTTGTCTAAATACCATAATTATTTAATGATTTTATTTATTGATTGGTGAATTTATTACTTCAATCATTCACTAATTAATTCATTCACTTATGCACTCACTCAATCAGTCATTAGATTGCTTAATTGCTCGGATTCATTTTTTTTCTCATTCGTACATCACTAACGTTTAACTAATTTGTAAATCATTCGTTTTTCTAATCGTTCATTCATTCATTCACTCATTTTCTCTCTCACTCACTCATTCACCCATTCATTTATTAATTCATTCTTTTTTTCATTCATTCGTTCATAAACGTTTGGTTAATTTATTATTCATTCATTTTTTCAATCATCCACTTATTAATTCTTTCACTTGCTATCCGCTCACTCATTTGTTCGTCCATTCCTTTATTCTTTCATTCATTCATTCATTTTTTCATTTTTTCATTCATTCATTCACTAATTCATCAATTTATTCAAGTCACATCGACTACAAACAGCTCGTGTGTAGTTTATTTGAATTAGACGGACAAGCAATATGTAAACGGAATGGTATCTACAAATACAATATTGTCGTATTTGTGATATTTTTTGGTATTAATATTATTATTATTACTTCATAATAAACACATTGATATTTCACTCACATGTGTTTTTCATTTGTTTTTTGATGGATGAATGAACGATTGATGAATCTGTGTACTAATTAAATATTAAATGAATTGATAATGAATGTAGAAACGAATGATTGAATGAATGAATGAATGAATGAATGAATGAATGAATGAATGAATGAATGAATGAATGAATGAATGAATGAATGAATGAAGAAAGGGACGGATGAGTAATTGATTTTTTGAAACGAATGAATAAGTAACTGAAGGAATGAATGAATGGATGAATTAATTGCTTATATTCAAACTTAAATCATTCAAACTGCTTATATCGAATGGGGAATATTTAAGTATACTTAAGAAGCATAATTAATGATTAATTAATTGAAATAATAAATACGATTAAAACAAATTAAAAGCGTTATTTGGAGTATTATGTTATGAAAATGAAATGATACATTAATATCATGTGTTGTTATCATTTAGTGACATGATGACGATGGTGATCGTGCAATGTGACGTCACGATAACCAAACGATGACGTGATAGTGACGTCACGGTTGCATGTTTAACGGCTCTGGTGATTCTACTAGAAATACAGCAATTGCAACAACATTTATTAACGATAACAGTAATGGTAAATAAATAATAATAATCACAATAGAAATAACAATGATGATAATCAAAATTATAATAATAATATCAGAGACAAGTGTTGGTGATCACAGCTACCTCTTGACATACACTGCCGGTTCAGCACTTAGTCACGAATGAATAATGAATAAAAGTAAAGTGCTATAAAAATGGTTATCATTGTTATTATTATTATTATTGTGCAATCAATATTGTTGTTAATCTTGATGTCAGATCAAATAACTTAACACGCAAATATTAGCACTGTTTTAGTTAACCAATGTATTTGGGGTTTGTCTGTGATTGATTGACCAATTGGTTGGTTGGTTGATTGGTTGGTTGGTTGGCTGATTGGTTGATTGATTTGTTTGTTGGTTGGTTGGTTGGCTGATTGGTAGAGTAGTTATTTGGTTGATTTGAATGTTAACTTATTGTTAGAAATTAGCATGTTTCAATATTAATTTACAAATTTTTTTGGACATTTTTAAAAGATTTCAAAATTTAAACTCTAAAAACGTACGTAGATGCGGTTTAAAAGATACAAACGAAAAGGGAAAATAAAAACGCTTTGAAAGCATAACGTAATGCGGTAAGAAATCAACAAATCAATCAATAGTCACCGACATCATCCCCATCAAGTTCGGCTGTCAATCAGATGCGCTTAAGCCCCGCCTATTTCGTTAAAATGTCATTCCATTCCTGTCCAGATTGAAACCGAGCTTGTTCTGATTGTGCAGGACGGAGATGAGGCCTGCGTAGGACTCCACAACTATCGGGCTGTCGTCGACCTTCAACTCGCGACCTGTGGCGTGGCGTGGCGAATGTTTCCATCTTGTTTCCATAATTCGAATTTTAATATGGACGCCAATACGCACTAGCTCGGACATACTCAGACAAACTCATACATTCTCACACAATCTTACGCAATTTCACACAGTCTCACAGAATCTCGTACAGACTCACACAAAGTTAAACAAATTCACATCAGCCCACCCGCCCACACAACCGAACAACCGACCATCTCTCCTGTAGATCTTTTCCATTTCGGCGAGGAGTGACTCGGCGAAATCGTCGGCATTGTAGATAACGGTGTCGGTTTCGTTTTTGTTGTAGATGGTGGGGTGGTGGGTGAAGGTCATTAGGGGAATGTCGTTGCACCAGGGGTTCCAACGCTGCAGGAATGTCGGGGTCCCTAGGTGCAGACGTACTCCACCATGATCACGTGGTCTGAGACGAATGAATGGATGGATGGGTGGGTGGATGGGTGGGTAGGTGGATGGATGGATTGTTCGATGCTTGGACGAATGAGTGGATGGATTGTTGGATGGACGGATGGCTGAATGAATGAATGATTGGATAAGTTGATGAGCAAATTAATATTTGGTTCGAATGATTAACAGGCGAAGAAATTAAATTAAATTGTGAAAAAAATAAAAGAATCACTACATTGCGTTGATAAGAATGATTGATAGATAGATAGGATAGATGGAAGATCAGCCATTAGAAATTATGGATTGATAGCTGGATTAAGTAACAGAGCAGAGGAATGAACGAACGAACGAACGAACGAATTACTACAAGAATGAATACATGAATGAATAGAAAGACAATCAGAAATAAATAAATGAATGAACGAACAAATAAACGAATGAATACATAAGTGAATAGAAGGACAATCAGATAGATTGCAGCAGCTTTGAATTGTATGAACAAATATTAATCATGAAAGACAAACAGCAATCTGTCTAGACATGTGCAGTTGTTATTACACTATTCATTATTTCTACCAAATGCAAATAAATTTAGTGCAATGTAATTTCTACAATAAGAATCCTCTCAATAGCATCATCATCATCATCATCATTACCATCATCATCACCATCCAATTAAAGCTCTTTGTGCACGAATGTAGCTGCAATGATAACGAGATGGTGAAGACGACGACGATGATTGTGGATGAGGATGATGATGTTGAATCAGACATGACTGGAAAAGTAAAAACTACAAAAATAAAGAAAATAAAAATTAAGGTTCACATCATAAGAGTGACAGAGGGGTACGTAAGATCGGCAATCTGCAGCTTGTTGATGTCTTTCAAGTAAATCTTCCTCCAGAGTCTGATGTTGTCTCCGATGAAGTTATACTTGACGACCGCCATACTCTCCTGAGTCAGAAGTACCATCATTTCGTGCTCCGTGTCCCAGTAGCCTATTCTGTTTGGTTGATGGGCGGTGGTTGGGTTGGTTGGTTAGATTGTTGACTGGTTGAATGAATGATCAGTTGGTTGGTTGGTTGAATGAATGATCAGTTGGTTGGTTGGTTGAATGAATGATCAGTTGGTTGGTCAGCTGGCTGGTCTTGTTATTATGCACACTGGCGCATTTTAAAACTATCATTTATAATAGTTATTAAATTTTTATTTAATACTTCAAATAAACTACATAGAAACAAAAATTATCATAAAATAATAATAAATTTATTGATTATAATAACATAACAACTGACTCAGTAAGCAGCCATGCTCCCATGAATTCTCCATCCTGCTCGTTGAAGATGCCCTTGCATTTGTCCACTGCTTTGCTGAATGAGCCGTCCTGAGTTGAGTCGTTGGTTGGTTGATTGTTTGGCGATTGATTGGTTGGTTGATTGGTTTGTTGGCTGGCTGGTTGACTGATTGGTTAGTTGGCTGGTTGATTGGTTGGTTGATTGACTGATTTTTTGATTGGTCGGTTGTTGTTGGATTATGGATTTATCAAGTGATAACTTTATTTCAATGGTTTGAACACATGCGGCAAAAAATAATAAACCTACCATTCAAAAAACTGTCAAATCAACAAAACAATCAACCAGCGACCAACTAATTTGTAATCAATCGACCAACTAATCAACCAACGATCATCCAATCAACCATCAATCAACCAACGAGCCAACCAACCAACTTCCAATCAATCAGCCAACCGACCAATCAGTCAACCAGCCAGCCATCCAACTATCCGACCTTATAAAAATACTTCCAATAGACCAGCCAACTGACCAACCAGTCAACCAGCCAGTCAGCCATCCAACTATCCAACCTTATAAGAATACATCTTTCCAGCAGCATATTCCGAGACGTAGGTGCTAACACTGAGCGAGGCATGACTCCTGGTACTGAGTGTACTCTTGCGACTCATCATAGATGCACTGTGCGGCCGATTGCGGTTCAATTCAGAAGAGGCTCCGTTAGATTTATCCAGTGGAGACGTTGATGAAGTTGCTGTAGCCGCTGCAGTTGTGGCAGCTTTGGAAGAAGAGGATGAATTAGATGGAGGTGGATGTTGCTGAGAGGGCTTGTCGGGGTTTTCTGTGACCTCATTTGGAGTGTAGCCAACATTTTCGTAGGATGGAGCAAATGCTACTTCAACAAAATCATTTGGCTGATTGTCCATTATAATGGTGTTGCGCTGTGTTGTTGTTGTTGCTGTTTTTTGTTGTTGTTGTTGTGTTGTTGTTGTGATGTTGTTTTTGTTGTTTCGGTGCTGTAAATGCCAATGATGTTGTTGCTAACTCTTTTTTTTGTTAGAATCTTTTTTTTATAATGATGAGATTGAATTTTTTTTCCTCTTTAGATAATTATGCAGCTGTTGTTATTGGTGTATAATTGTTGTAATTGATGTTTGGCGACGTTCTGTAATTGTACAATGATTGTCCACAGAGAGATGATGATGACGACGACGACTGTTAATATAAAATAATTATTTATTAATAATTTTATCTTAAATAATAAAATAATAATAATAATTTTTGTTATTATAGTAGCAAGAATAATGAATAAAAATATTGCAAACAAAAAATTATTTTAATTATTTTTTGATTAGCTTAACGCGTTAACTGCCAAAATAACTGTTTCCAATATAAATATTTATACTGAATACTACTACTACTACTACTACTACTACTACTACTACTACTACTACTACTACTACTACTACTACTACTACTACTACTACTACTACTACTACTACTACTACTACTACTACTACTACTATTACTACTACTACTACTACTACTACTACCACACCACCACCACCACTTCTACTACTACAACAACAATTACTGCTACTAAAACTACTATAAATATAAAAGGTTATTTCCAAGTTACACCAACAAAAACACAAACAAGAGACCTCTTGAAATTCGGTAAAAATGATTTCTTCAGAGAAAAACCCAATTAAAACATTCATTTTAAATGTAATCTATGATTCTTGAATATGATTAGCCTTGTATTTTATCAACTACTGACAAACTACTCAACTTCATTGGCGCATCTACCCAAAAAATTTCATTTATATATATATATATATATATATAAACAATTTTGATAGCTGGATGTGTGTTGGTGGATGTTATATAGAGAGGATTAATAATTTATATAAATATATATATATATATATATACACCTAGTACACAAATATATATATATTTACATACATGTATATGTATGTATACGTGTATGCTTGTATACATGTATGTTTGTATGTATGTATTTATATTATATTAATTATGTATATTATAAGCCGTCATGTGAGTGTGAATAACAACGGTTTAAATATTATTTATACGTTCAATTGTATAAGTTAATAATAATATTATTATTATTAATAATAAAAATAATAAGAACAAAAAGAATACTTATTTATACTTGAATACTTAAATTAAAAATTTTACTGTTATAAGAGAACAATATTAAACATGTGTAATATTTAGGAAAATGAGGTCTTTTGTATATATGCATCAGAAACAACCTACTCACTTAACTCCTGTCTGTCAGACACTTTCAAAAAACACTGACTTAGAAAATGCCCGAAACGAGCGTTCATATCTATACGATCTCATATCCAGACATGAACATACTAGATCACTCCGCAGCAGCTCAACAGGTTTCTTAAACATTCCCGTAGCCGGATCCCGCCTGGCTGGCCGCGGTTTTAGTCACGCTTCTCCGTATGTCTGGAATGCGTTACCTCCTGAGTTAAGACAATGTTCCTCGTTGAGTCTTTTCAAAAAAGGATTAAAGACTCATCTTTTTAACACGGGCCCCGGGCGCCTCTGAAGCAGCTGTGCGAATGAGCGCGTCATAAATGTTTATATTATTATTATTATTATTAACATGTGAATACACGTGATAGAAGGCATCACACACATTTCTGCGTGTGATCTGCAGGCATCACTTTGCTATCGAATCCAGGCACTCCAACATCAGTGCCAGGCCCTTCACCGCTTCACCACATCACGGCGCCCATGTCTAAATTACATCACTAGCGTTTGAAAACATGAGATGTCATAGCTGAGAAAAGTAAATATGAAAATTTATATGTCGGAAGAATGTACGAACGAACATTGCATAGAATTTTAATAAAGCAAATAATAACCGTGAAAAAATTAATCGATAAATTAATACATACTATCACCCTGTCGCCAAATTAATGTCAACAAAATTCATCAAACATTTATGATTGTATCGTGATAAACATAGATATGTATATATATATATATATATATATATATAAGGATGTACTTTTGTATATATCAAGATAAAGATATACATATGTATGATATCAGGTATATAAAATTAATCAATAACAGAAACACATGCAACCTGTAGTTTTTTTATTATGTTTAATATTATTAAAAAAAATTTTATTACTACTACTACTACTACTACTACTACTTCGACTACTACTACCGCTACTACTACTACTACTACTACTACTACTACTACTACTACTACTACCACCACCACTACTACAACTACGACCACTGCTTCTACTAATACTACTACTACTTTTTTTAATATCTTTACAACTTCAATTCAATTTTTTTTTTAAATTTGGCATTACTCAAAATCACATGAGATTTAATGAATGGTAATAGAAATAACGCTTTATCATCGGAAAAAATAATACAAACAATGTATGAATGTAGATATATATACTACTATTACCAATGTTTAAAAATATATAATACGTATTTTTATAACGTGGTATTAATAATAATAATAATAATAATAGCATTAATAATATTATTCCTGTATATCAAGGGTGGGCAAACTTTTTGCTGTGAGGGCCGCATTGAGAACTATTTTACCTTTGAAGGGCCGCATATGTACTTAAATAGCAAATTTTTCGACCCGGGGGAGAATTTTTTAAGATATGTGGCTCCTTTTTTTGTCATAATGTCTGGCCGACGACATCTCTTTTTTGGCGCATACAAATAGTTCCGCGGGCCGGATGCGGGCCGTAGTTTGCCCATCCCTGCTGTATATCAGTAGTAGTATATTATGTAGTTAATACTAACAGTTGTAGTATATGAACAATTTTTGTACTTATTTAGTAGTAAAGTTACAAATTGTAATACAGGCTCTTTATAATAATAATAATAATAATAAAATATAAACAATGTTATCGGGCTTCAAGATGATCCGCCCTCATACACACAGGTCCCGCTAAAACACAACATAACAAAATTTGCTCACCTTGATTAAGTCAAAGAGATGGAAGATTTTTCTAATTGTATTATACCGTAGAAGACGACAACGCAAGTTCAACAAAAAATATAAGAAGAAACGATCAGACAGATTTATTATTATTAATTATTGTTTTTTTTATTATTAATAATATTGTTATTTGTTGCGTTTTCAGTTTTTATTCTAATGTCAAAGAAGTTAACACGTATTTACCGCTTAGGCCTTAGTTATATGTGTGTATTTGATTTGACTTTAATACCATTTACACTAAGTTATGCTATAATAAAGGTATATATGGTCTTAGCAAAAGTAACTCTTTACAAGTGCTATTATATTATCACCATTAGTACGACGGTAACTTTCTATATTGCAGTATCAAGAGAGTAGTATCCGTTATGTATAATGTATAAGAAACAAAGTATCTACTTACTATTATATATACCGTATAATACTAACTGCAGTACTGTACTTATTGTTATGTACGAGTGGTAGTAGCAGTAGCTACAGTTGCTGTTGTATCGACTGACTGCTTACTATATCATTGTTCACCTGTGTTTTGTTCGTTCGATCACGGGGATACATATATATTGCTGCATAATATTCATCAAAATTTACCTGCCTGTGCATGCATTCACTCAGTACTTGCATGTATATATATATATATATACATATATATATATATACATATATATATATACACACACACACATATATATATATATATATATATATATATATGAAAAGGCTAGTCAGAAGGCAATTAAGCACCGTATTTCCAACCTCCAATGTCTTATAATACATATATATATTCAATGTCTTATAATTGAAATGAAAATAGCGAAGAAAGGTGATGGGGGATAAACACAAAATTGTTGGTGGTGGGTGTGTGAATAAGACTTGAGTACCTTAACGCGCGAGCAGTGTTGAAATAGGTAAAATATGAATCGATCTTTGATGGTGATAACTAATAATGAAGATGACGATGTTGAATGATGATGATGAAGATGATAATGACGACTTGATGATTATTATAATGGTGATGCCTGCAACTTTTAATACAAAGTTACTTTATTGTGTAGAATAATCGACTGGGAGGGCAATATGTTCAACGATTGCACCGGGGAATGCATATTAACTGTAACTATGAACTAATTGACAATTCTAACCACAAACACAACAACAATAATAACAACAACAACAAAATATACACAGCAATAACGACATTAAAAAATAAAAATAATAATAACGACAGCAGTGAAGCTGGCTGCTGATCGCTCTTCACTTGCGCGTTCGTTCGTTTCCTTAGCGGCGCGTGTAAACAAACCTCGTTTGAGAGCTGGTTAGCTGCCTGTCTTCATGTTATATTATGTTCTACCATGTACCATGAACCCTTAGTTACGATAATATAAATAGCCACAATAATACCTACATCTCAATGTATTATTATTATTGTTACTATTATTGTTATTATTATTAGAGCATTTATATAGCAGCTAAACTTCTGAAGAAAAGATATAGCAGTAAAATTACAGTTAAATTTGAAACATTATTTCCTTTGCGGGTATATGATGGGTGTCATAAGGCTTTTACTCAATTGTATGTTGATACACAGTACATGATTTGTGAAAGAAAAGATTTTTCTTTAGCCTTAACATGGTTAATATTAACGTGTATTTTAAAATGCTTTCTGACATAACCAAAAACCTTCTGATTAACCTAGTTTGTAATGCGGAGAAACTCGACTATCAGTTAAAAAACGACAAAAAGGCGGTGTATTTTTATGGGAAACTTTATTTTAAGATAATTTCAACCAAATATACATGTGTTTGTGTATAGATAAGTGTGTTTGTGTGCGTGCGTGTGTGTCTTTGTATGTGTGTGTGTGTGAGTGAGTGAGAGAGAAAGAGCCTTTTTGTTTGTAGTTTGTATATAACGATACAACACAACATTAGAATAATTAAGTTATCAAGCAAATGAAATGAAATCACAATAAGCAGATAAGTAAGCCTGATAATAAACAATTTGAAATTTATAAAAATGATAAAAAACAATATAAACAATGTGTGTGTGTACGTGTGTTTGTGTGTGTGTACGTGTGTTTGTGTATATGTGTATGTCTTTTTTCATAATCGTGTAGATAGATGAAACATCATAAAACCTTGTTATAAAAACATTATTGATCGTGAAACATTAACAAAAACAACTTGATGACGACGACGATAACGACAAAGATGACGACGATGATGACGACGTTTAGAAAGAAATAAATACGCATGCATATATCGATTGATCTGTATAAATTATTTATAATTGTTCATAGAAATATGGACAGAGAGTAAAAAAGTTGACTTTAAATGAATTTATTGTCTTTTTGTTATTGTTATAAAAATATAAAATAATAATAAATAGAAACAATTAAAACTATTATAATATTAAATACAACAAGAATAATAACATAATAATATTAAGAACATTTATGATAACATTTTGTCAAAAACGTAAGATACGATTATTACTATTTAATGTATCTCTCAGATTATCAACGTAACTCTCAGATTAATAAACAGAAAAAAATGTCTTTTTTGACATGATATCATTCTTATTCTCTCTCTCTCTCTCTTCTCTATTTATCTTCTTCCATCGCGTTTTTTCCCTATGTCTAGTTCTCTCTCTCCTCTCTCTCTCTCTTTCTCTTATAATCCACTCTTATGCTCATGTTTTAATGTGACAAAGATTTTAATTATAACAATAAAATCTATAACACTCAATGAGAATATAAGTTAGCCCAAACATAAATTTAATAATCATACTACCACTACTACTGCTAGCAATACTTCTGCTGCTACTGCTACAACAACAACAACAACTACTACTACTACTACTACCACTACTACTACGACTATTACTACTACCACTACTACTACTACAACCGTATATCTGTGTCTGTGTGTCTGTTTTTGTTTGTGTGTGTATGTGTAAAAATCTATGCAAGCCAATGCAGACTTATAAACATAATAAAATTTGCGTATATAACAATGTTTACAACAACAACAACAACAATGACAACAAAACAAACTGCATCAGTTAACAGGTTAACAACATAAACAACTATTCAGCAATGAATACTTTTAAAAAATAAATCAAATTCAGAGTCGAGTAGAAAAAAATCCCTCAAATCTAAAACAATCAATCAACCAACCAACCGACCGACCGACCGACCGACCGACCGACCGATCGATCGATCGATCGATCGATCGATCGATCGATCGATCAATCAATCAATCAATAATAATAATGCCAATAAAAATAAGATTATCATTACCAACGAAATCGAAAAAATGTCTTTGAAAAAAAAATCGCTCAAAATTAAGATCACAATTATCTTTTTAAATACTTTTGGTAGAGCATTGAAACGATATAGGAGACTAATACAATCAATTGCTATTGCGGTATACACATACACAAACGTATATACACACACGCGCACACGCACGCATACACATACCCACAAACGCACACACACACACACACACACTTATATATATATATTTGACATTTTTTATTTCATCGAATCAAAACAAAGAAATCAAAGAAATGATATCAATGAAAAGAAATGATCTGGAAATCGAAAAGAAAATATGGTTTTCTTGTAATGATCGCCAGTGACAATTGTAAAAAAGAGAGCACATTTTAAATATTTTAGTCCATATATATATATATATATATATATATATATATATATATATATATATATATATATATATATATATATATCTATATCTATCTATATATATATATATATATATATATTATATATATA